CCGGTACAGATCACTACGCCAGGTTCCACTGAACCCAGTTCTACCAGCGCCCGACTCAGGGCGAGCCGGCTAGCGATCTGGATGGCCCCGGGGGCCCGAGGCCGGGCGGGAACGCCAAGGGTGTGTGGAGAGATTGCCCAAACAACCTTGACCTCAGGAGAGGGGGTCCGCTCGGCGGCCCCGGGGGGCCCGCAAGCGGCCCCCAGGCTCCGCCTTGGGTTCAGTCGGGCTTGTCCCTCTGCAGAAGGAATACTCAAACATAGTATTAAGATAGCATGGGCTCCCTCTGCAGAAGGAATATGCAAACATCGTATTAAAATAGCACGGGATGTGTTTTCTTTCTTTAAAAAATAACAAAAACAAGATTTTCTTATTAGTTATACAAACAAACCAGCAAAACGTCGCCAATCCGCCTGTAGGAGGACACGCCCAACCCAAGCCCTGGGCGCTGGGGTCTGGGCGAGGGGCCCTCAGGACGAGCCGTTCTGCCGACGGCCCTGGGGCCCAGGCAAGGAAGGGCCCTCAGAACCCAGTCCCCCTCGGGTCGTGACAGGAATGAGGACGCAAGGTTTCTCGCGCTCTTCCGCCTCCGAGGGCCCTCACTGGGCAAAAATCGACTCAGGATGAAAAAACGGCTCCTGGGGAATGGGTCGAGAACGTTGGGGGTCGACGCTATGAACAAATTGTGACGTCGGGGGAGACACAATTAATCGTCGATTCCCCAGAAATTATGGGAAAATCTAGGAAGCGGGGGGGAAGACGACCCCCCCCCAAAAAAGATTGGACAAGAGGGGGAATCTTTCTATTTGTGTGTATTTACTTGTGTGTCCCAGAGCCCCTTCATGTATGACCCGTTCCAGGTCGATGTTTCTCCCCCCCCTGGGCCGACGTAAACCCGACGCAGTTCCGACGCAGTCCGACGTAAACCCGACGTAAATACGACGTGGATCCGACGCAAATCGAAGCTCAAGTTGCCGCGCGAGGCCTCCGGGAATGTCTTCATAAGTTTTACGAAGCGAGCATCTCTCGGTCCCCGCCGCGGTGTATCACCCGCTCAGGGTCGACGTTCCTCCCCCCCCTGGCCCGGTTGCCCCTGCGGTTGTCGGGTGGTTGCTCGGCCCCCCGGCGGCCCTTGGAGCGGGGCGAGCCGGGCACCCCCGGAGCGCCTTCGACGAAGCGCAACGGACAAAGGGCGAAAATGACAAGGGTGCGTGGAGAGATTGCCGAACAAAAACCCTTGGCCTCAGGATCAAGCAGTGGCGCAGCGTTCTGGCTCGCCTATAGCCCTAGCAAGCAATGCTCTAAGAACCTTTGGTGTTTCCCACGAAATGTCCTTAGAACATTTCTGTCGGAGCCTGTCTTGGTTTAACATATCGGGAATAGGTTCAAAGAACATTGTGTTTGTTCAAATGCATTTTTGGGTTATAAGAACGTATTGCGCAACGGACAAATGTTGGAAATCCGAGGCGGGAATTTATCCATATCCACCGCCTGGAGGGTCAGTTTTCGGAGCCCCGGCAGGCGGTGGATATGGACATATATGGGCCCCCGGGGGCCGACATATATCCATGTCCACCGCCCGCTGGGGCACCAGGACGTCGGTTCCCAGGCGGTGCATATGGATAGATCCCCGCCTCGCAGGAAAACGCTGGGGAACTGCCCCCCCATCCAGAGTCCCCGACGATCTGTCTTTTCACAACGTGTACCCCCAGAGGTTCAAGACAGCAGGTTCAAGACAGGCTCAGTCTGGATCCGTAGTCCTCTCCTGACGGAATGGCAGACGCCCACGTTGTGCGACCGAGAGCGCCAGAAGGGAGATACATGTTTGCCGACGCAGCAGAAACGACGACGCCAGCTGCAGCGAAATTCGTAAAATCTGCATTGGGATTCCAGCTTCATCACAGTGTTCAGCGCCGTACCCAGACAGCCACTTCGATTCGTGTGTTCTTCCTTCTCCAGCTCCGTTCCCTGGATTGGCATGCAAGAACCTACTCGAGCAGCGACTCATGTCTGTACAACATGCCATGGAACACGTTGCATACGCCATCCATGCGAATATTGGACACCTTGCGTGCACAAGCAATCACGAACATACATATTGCAATTCTAGTTCGCTTTCTAGCTTCTAGCGTTTTGGCGAAGGGTTCGGCCGAGGCTGCGGCCAGGTGCAGCTTGAAGGAAACGCAGTCCGCTGACAGTTTTCCGCTGCCGCAGTACGGGTACGACGATCGACCTGTTGAACACCAACTGGACAGTTCTGTGTTTTGTTCCATGGTAGAGGATATATACGTGTTCTGTGCTGCAGTTTGGTAAGTGGGGGCCCGTTCCGGACGCGATTGAGACGCAGAGTGTTGCGAGCATCGATTTCGAGGAGCGTGCGGCGCACATTCAGAACGAAAAACCGCACCAACGTACATCACATTACGTTCCGCCTTCATGTGGAGATTGATACAAACAAGACTCCGACGAAACAGGGCCTTGCCCCAGCATGGCTCGGATTGGAGACCGACGTGGTCGTCGCATTTTTTTGTATGCGATCCACCCCCACAGTGATGCCGAGGCGCCCGTGCATTCGATCAGCCAGGGTTTTGGGATAGACGAATGCGAACACCGCTTCATGTTAGGCTCTATCCTTCTTTCTTACACGTCTGGAATCTGTATCACAAAATTTGGTGGAAGACGACACATTCCCAACGTTGTGTACGACCCAGAGCAGCTCGATTGGTGAAACGACTGCGGGTAGCTTTCAAGTGCGTGTGCTTCAAGGTATGAGTATCGGCGCTCCATCGCCGCCGTCGCCGCGTTCCTAGTGGGCCGTCCTAGGGGGGGGGGGATAGAGGTCCAGATCCCTTCCCAGGAACTGGTTTCTCATCGCGAGGTGTTTTGTTTTAGCGGTCTTAAGGCCCAGTATGGCCCACTGTAAGCCAAAATCGCAAAACGCAATTCGTCTTGATTTTCCCGCCATATCCTCGTCGTGTGATGCCTCCTCATCCATTCCTGAACTCCGCCTCTTTGATCCCGTCTTTCACACTCGGAACACTTGCATCTGGACTCCTTTACATCCAGATATCTTCACACTCAGATTCACTGACAGTCAGACACACATCCTCGGACTCACTCACATTCAAACCCACATTTCATCCGACCAGACCCGCACCCATTCAGACCAGACCCATTCAGACCCGCACCCATTCAGACCAGTTCAGACCCGCACCAATTCATTCAGACGGGCGTCGCGGCGCGGGTGGGAATGACGAGGGAAACACGGAGTGGAAGGGAGGGGAAGGGAGACGGGGAACGACGCCGACAACGACGACGACAACGACGACGATGTCGACGACGACGACGACGACGACGACGACGACGACGACAACGACGATGCCGACGACGACGACGACGCCAATGACGACGACGACGACGACGACGACGACGTTTCCCCCCCGGCGTTAGGCCGGGCATGTCCTCCTACGGGGGGATTCTGTAAGAGAGATGGAAAACATTGTCAAACAATAATTCACAATAGTCGAAACATCGTCCCCATATATTTGTTGTGACTGTTTTTTACAACACTCCTCCTGTAGAGGGACATGCCCGACCCAGACCCCCGACGCCATGATTTCTTTGTGACATCGACCCCCGGAGGTTTCGACCTAGCCCCCGGGACCGGTTTGTTATCCGGAGTAGTTTCTTGACGGTCCCGAGGCCTGGTCAGGGCCCCCATAGAGGCCGAAAATGGTGAACAACCTCCCGCCTATGATTTTTTTCATTGCCCGAGGGGGTTTGGGTTCTTTGGGGGCCCAAAGGTATACACCACCACCGCCTCCCTCATCCCTTCCCCCTTCCAGGAAAGAGGATTGGCAGACCAGGGTGGAGGAGAGAGGAGGAACCGACGAAGTTAGCTGTCCTTGCTACCTCCTTGACCCCCCCCACCTCCTCCCCCTTCCCTCCTCCTCCTCCTCCTCCTCCTCCTCCTCCTCCTCCTCCTCCTCCTCCTCCTCCTCCTCCTCTCCTCCTCCTCCTCCCCCTCCTCCCCTCCTCCTCCTCCTCCTCCTCCTCCTCCTCCTCCTCCTCCTCCTCCTCCTCCCTCCTCCTCCTCCTCCTCCTCCTCCTCCTCCTCCTCTCCTCCTCCTCCTCCTCCTCCTCCTCCTCCTCCTCCTCCTCCTCCTCCTCCTCCTCCTCCTCCTCCTCCTCCTCCTCCTCCTCCTCCTCCTCCTCCTCCTCCTCCTCCTCCTCCTCCTGCTCTTCCTCCTCCTCCGCCCCCAGCGCTCCTCCTCAGGCTCCGCCCGCGCGCGGCCCCTCCGCGCCCGCCGGCGGCGGGGCGGGGGCACCGGGCCGCGGCGCGGCCCCTGGCCCGGGCCTCCGGCAGGAGCCCATGGGAGCCAGAGGAGGCGGAGGAGGAGGGGGAGGAGGAGGAGGAGGAGGAGGGAGGAGGAGGAGGAGGAGGAGAAGGAGGAGGAGAGGAGGAGGGAGGAGGGAGAGAGGGGAGGGGGAGGAGGAGGAGGAGGAGGAGGAAGAGGCGGAGGAGGAGGAGGAGGAGGAGGAAGAGGAGGAGGAGGAAGAGGAGGAGGAGGAGGAGGCGGAGGAGGAGGAGGAGGAGGAGAAAAAGGAGGAGGTGCTCCGTAGCCATTTTGGCTCAAGCCCATTGCCCAATCACCTGCTGGGTCCGGGCCACTGCGGGCGCGCGCGCGCCCTCCCGCCCCCCCGTCCACGTTTTGGCTCACATCACGGTTTCCGCCTCTCGCTTGCTTTGGATATCTGAGCAACTCGCTGCTGGAAGGCAGTGGCGGGTCTGGCTCAACTCGCACCCGGATAAGGTGACTGCCCATTTCGTGTTCCTCCCGCATTTCGATCCGTGCATGCTGAACTCCTTCGCCGCCGCCGTTATCGACATGCTGCTGTGTCCTTCTCCATGCGGTGGATCCGAGATAGTGTTGGTGCCGAATATATCGGAAGTGCTGGCGCCGATCTTCGTGGAGTGACTGGTCCCGGTTTTCATGGAGGAGCCTGTGCTGCTCATCGTCGTTCCGATCGTCGTGGAGGTGCCGATAGTGGCGCCGATCCTTTTCGCCAAGGTGTTAAAGCTGATTGTCCTGGAGGCGTCGATCTTCGTAGAGCGGATGCTACCGGTCACCGTGGAGGGGCCGACGCCGATCATCGACGAGGTGTTGGCACAGAGCATTTGGGAGGCGTTGGTGCCGATTCTCGTGGACGTGCTAAGCCTCGCGGAGGTGCTGGTGCCGTTCATCGTGAAGATGCGGGCGCCGATGATCGAGGAGGTGGTGGTGCCGCCCATCACGGGGGTGTTGGCGCCGTGCGCCCAGCTGCTGCCACAACGTCTGAGGAGTGTTAGACTCCAGAGGCGGGGTGTTCGACTCCAGAGGCTGGGCGGAAACGAATCGACGCAGTTGCCCTAACGGAGGAAGCTGCGCGCGAGGATGCAAACTACGCTGCCAGGCTCATCCAGTGGGCCGGGGAAAAAGTCATGATGCTGTCTGAGTTTACCGCCTCTGCACTTCCAGACATCCTGGGCGCGGTGCCAGCCAACAGTCTCGAGGAGGCGCTGGTGCGATACAAGCTGCTGGAGTCCGAAGCCATCGCCGCTCTGGCCGACGCCAGGGCTGCTTCCCTGAGGGAGTCGGCAGAGTCAGCGAGCCCGCTCAGCCACAGCCCCGCGTCGCCTGCAGATGGTGCACAGCAGAACCGGCTCAATGCCGCCCAGAGTGCCTTGGTCCGATCACGGCTGGCTTCGCGACGATGGGTTGCGATGGCTCAGCAGTGTGTACTTCGTACGGGATATGAGATTATTGGAAGCTCATCGACTGGGATTTGAGTTGAGCCGGGAGCGCAGCAGGGTAGTTGCCTGTGTCCGACGTGCTGACGTGTAGAGATTCCGAGCTGCTGGACGCCGCTCGAACTGCTGGTGGTCCTGGGGGCCGGATTTCCGCGGCTGGACTTTTGGGGGCCCTTTTGTCTTGTGGTCGACGGGTTCCTGCCTACGCTCCCCCCCTGCTGCCTCCCTCTCTTCCTGCTCTTTCTCTCTTCCTCCCTGTTTCTCCTCTTGGGGGGGTGCGTTAGCGGGTTCCTGTTCTGGTTCTGGGGTTTCTTGGGTCTCTCTGGGTCCCCTCGTCGCTTCTGTCTTTGTGTCCCGCTCTGTCTTGCCTTCTTCCAGTCGTTTAGGCATCGACCGTGTCTGCCTTAGTGTGAAAGAATGAATGAATGCATGAATGAATGAATGAATGAATGAATGAAGGAGGAGGTGGAGGAGGTGGAGGGGAAGGAGGAGGAGGGGGAGGAGGGGGAGGAGGAGGAGGAGGAGGAGGAGGAGGAGGAGGAAGGAGGAAGGAGGGGGAGGAAGGGGAGGAAAGGAAGGAGGAGGAAGGGGAGGGAGAGAGGGATGGAGGGAGGGCCTCCTCCTCCTCCTCCTCCTCCTCCTCCTCCTCCTCCTCCTCCACCACCACCACCTCCTCCTGTTCCGGTTGCGTTGTGCTGTGTTCGCGTGCTCCCAGACACACGGGCCCTTGATTTTTGTAATGCGCGGTCCCCGTAAGTCCCGACCCTTTCTCTAGGGCCCGGCAGGTGTTTCATTCGGCGTCGTTTCGACGGTTTCGGGACCCGGTGAGAGCCCCCAGCGGCCAGAATCGGCGAAAGACATCCCTTCCTGATTGTGTCATGGCGCGATCATGTGTGGGCGCTCGCGGCGCAGAAACATCACGACGGAGTTCGTTTGTCGTGTTCGGCGTCTCCGTGAGTGCGTCCTCCCTCTCCCTCCTTTCTCTGCAGCCGTCTCGCTTCTTGTCCTTCCCCCCCTCTGCATGCCGGACCATTCGCAATGCCGCCCCACGGGTTGCTCGACGCGCGAGCGGATCGCCTCTGCAGTGCCGCGTCGGAAGAATGTTCGGCATCTCGGGGCCCTTGCCAGGCCCCGGGGCCGTCAAAAGACGACTTGGGATGAAAAGTTGGTCCCTGGGAAAGGAAGGTCGCTGGATGTCCCGATCTGGGACAGGTCCGTCACCCCGAGTCATTCTTGACGGTCCCTGGGAGGGTGCCCCCAGAAAATGACGAAGGACCTTCCTGATATCTTGAACGACGCGAGCATGGCTGGGAAGCGGGGCCTCCTCTGAGACCCCCAGGCGTCGCACTCTTTCGCCCCAGGCGAGTTTGCCTTGTTTCGGGGCCTGGGACCATCACAGATCGACCCGGCCGAATAGCGGCGCGGAAAGATAGGCCAGGCTGGTTGCGATGTTCTACGATGTTGCCTCTTTTGCTCGTGACGTCGGGTCTCGGTGTCTCCCCCCTCGCTCGGACGCCCCCGACATGAGCCCGACATCAAAGAAGAAACGCAGGTTTATGATGTTCCAACCAACCTACTTTAGCCTTGATCAAAGAATTCCGAGCACCAGGAACAAACCGAAACTCCAGGGTTTTCACGTGTCGGGCCCTGTGAGACACTCTTCTGACACCGTTTCGACACCTTTTTTCCGGGTGCTCGAAAGGATTTCTGGGACGTGGTCCTCAAGTACGATGGGATCAACATGAACGCAGGTTGGCAAATTCAGATCCTCGGAAATCGAAGGCCGTGGGGCCCGGGGCCCGTTTCTCTCGGGACGCCCGCCGGCCTCGAGCCTTCCTTGGGCTCCGACGTCGCGACGTAATACACCGTCGTGCAAGGACTCGGCCGGGACCCCGGACCCATGCGGGCGCCCTCTTTCGAGCCGGATCAATCCGTGAGGACCCCAGGGCCCGAAATAGGGCGCAGATGGATATGTGTGTATATCTATACATATATATATATATATATATATATATATATTCTGGCGATGGTTCGGGCGTGACCAGGGGGAGGGAGCTGGTCACGTCACGATTTGCGCTGGCGCCGTCTGGGGCCCGCCCAAGAATGGCTCATGCCCGGACGGCGCCGCCGCGAGGCGTGACGTGACCAAGGGGAGGCAGGGGTGGGGTGGCCGGTCACGGGCGTCATCGCGATTGATAGAAAATGGGCCGCTGCCCAGCGTGAAAAAAAACATAAACAACTTTTTGGGCGCTCCGCGCGGATTTCTTGGATCCGCGCTGGAGCCCCCCCAGCGGCGCCTCCGGCGACGCCCCTGAGCGCGCTCCGCGCGCCAGGAAGGGGACTCCAACGCAGGTCCAAGAAATCCGCGCGGAGCGCCACAAAGTTTATGTTTACGCGGTTTCTCCTTCTTCGAAAATTGCAGCGCCCAGATCTCATGGCTGCATCCTGCCTGGAGGAGCCACAGCGGCAGCCGTCGGCGGCGCGCCTGCCAAGCTTCGGCCCGGCCGACCCAGCGCGCGGCGGCAGCTTCGCCGCGCAGCCGGTGGTGACGCAGCCAGTGGTGACGCAGCCGGTGGTGACGCAGCCAGTGGTGACGGTCATCCTGGCGGACGACGAGGCCGGGAGAGGGAGACGCGGTTCTTTCTGCGATGGGATCCGCCCCCCCTCCAGGCGTGCTCGCGTCGCGCGGCGTGTTGGGCCTCTGTGGGGTCCTCGCGAGGCGCTGAGGCCGTAGAAGAACGAGTCAGGATGAAGAGCCGGCTCTGGTGGAAAGGGTCGGGATTTCGGGGCACCGCTTGCCTATAAAAAAATCAGGACGTCGCATGTCTGGGCCTCTTTCTCCTCCTCCTCCTCCTCCTCCTCCTCCTCCTCCTCCTCCTCATTCTTCAAGCAGCGGCGAAGCGTCCTGGTTCGCCTATAGCCCTACCGAACAATGTTATAAGAACCTTTTGTGGTTTCCACGAAATGTTCTTAGAACATTTCTCGCGGAGTCTATCTCGTCTTGACACATCGGGTTCATGTTCTAAGAACATTGTTTTTGTTCTTAGAACATTCGTGGGTTCTAAGAACATTTCGTGGTATGAATATAGGAATGCCGGGACGGTCGGTCCCTGCTCAACTCCTCCTCCTCCTCCTCCTCCTCCTCCTTCTCCTCCTCCTCCTCCTCCTATTCCTCCTCCTCCTCTTCCTCCTCCTCCTCCTCCCTCCTCCTCCCCTTCCTCCTCCGCCTCTTCCTCCTCTCCAGGCCTCCCAGATGGGGTCGCGCAGCATCGCCGATGCATCGGCGGTGCGGCTCGGTTTGGAGCCCGATCTTCTCTTTACAGTTTGGCTTTACACGCCGCCAGGCTTGGACGCGTCGGCCACCGCTACTGTCGCTGTCGCCGTCGCCCGAGTCGGTGGCCCTGACGAGGGGGTGACGGCGGCAGTGGCAGTGCCGAAACGCACCCAGAGTCTTGCAAGGCATGAGGGTGCAAACCAGAATTGTCTGGCTGATTCTCCGAGGAGGCTATATCACCGCTCAACGATGTGCTGTCAACCAAACCTGCATGGTGGGCCCTCTCAACTTTTCTGTGCACTTCAGCTTTGGCTTCGGCTTCAGCTGTGGGTGCACCGTGAAGCGCCTTCGGGCCAGCTTACCCGAGTCGGATTTGTCGCTCGCACGGGTGCTCCCCTCACCCCCTCTCTCCAGGCGTGCCAGATGGGGTCGGAACACATAGGGTCGGAGGATCGTGGCTCGGTGTTGAGCCCGATCTTCTCCATGCGGACGTCGCCGCTGGATCGCCGACGTCGCCGATGCATCGACGATGCATCGGCGATGTGGCGAGATCCTCCCTCCCCATCTACTTCGACCTCATCTGGGAGGTCCCTATCCTCCTCCTCGTCCTCCTCCTCGTCCTCCAGGATCGTTTTGACAGCGTTGTTCACTAGATCGTGATTCCTAGAGCTGTTTCCTCTCGCCGTCGTCCCCTACCGTCTTCCCGCCTGCCTGGGGCTCCGATCACCTCTAGATTGCATCCTCCCGTGCCGTGGGCCAGCCCAGCTGCACATCGTCCTCTGCTGTGCCGCTGCCTGTGATTTACCTTCGGCGGCCCTGAAGACAGTGCCGGGTCGGGGCGCAGGTCGTCTCCCGGAGACCCGGCGGGAGCTCGGCTCCGCGTGGCAGCTCGCGGGAGCGTCAGGTCGGGCTTGTCCCTCCACAGGGGGAATATTCAAAACTGGTGGATCATCTGGGGACGATGGTTTTTATAGCATGTTTGGCCATGCTTTTGTTTCTTTTTGGCTATGTTTGAACTTTCGTTCAAAATCCGCCTGTGAGGGGACATGCCCGACCTAACGGGAGCGCCGCCTTGCGGAGTATTGTGGTGGGGCCTCCAGGGGTCGAGGTAGGGGTCTCCGCCACAAGACAAATATACACAGACACCCTCGAATGGATGGTTCCTGGGCCTCAGAGAATGGTCGGCGGAAGCTGGCGGACGCAAAACGAGGGCCCCTGAGATAAGGCAACATCTGCGGGTTCAGGGTTTCCGGGGCCCGCCATGTATGGGGGCGTGTTTATCAGGGTGGCGCGAGGCCTTCGTCAGGAGACCATCGGGCGCGAAAGGGCCAGTGGGCACATACTGATATAATTTGATATCGCGGGTATCGTTGGGAGGTTTCATGCCGTTGAGCGGCAGCGGGGCCTCTCGGGGGAATGCTGGAGTTAATCGTGAACCAGGTTGGACCATCTTGCGCGATCTTGGAAGGCATCTCCAGATATCTGGGGCCATCTTGGAGCTATCTTGGATATTGTGACCCCAGGGAGGGACTTCCCCTAAGAAGGCCGGTGAACCCCTCACGTATCCCTGACGATGAGGCAGGCGGGGCCTCTCCCCTCGAAGGAGCCTCCTCCTCCTCCGCCGCCTCCTCCTCCTCCTCCCCCTCCTCCTCTCACCCTCCTCCTCCTCCCCCTCCTCCTCCTTCTCCTCCTTCCCCTCCTCCTCCTCCTCCTCCTCCTCCTCCATCTCCTCCGCCTCCTCCTCCTCCTCCTCCTCCTCCTCCTCCTCCTCCTCCTCCTCCTCCTCAAGGCGGACATGCACGGAGGCTCTACGCGCTTCTCGCGTAGGCTCCCGAGTCTGGCGTGCTGGAACAACCCGACACCCATGCTCATATTTTGAGAGTTTGCTCTCGGAGTCATGGGCCCCGCCAGGCATGGCCCGTCAGGCGTGGCACACGGCTACCCGTGCTGCAAGAGTTGGGCTCCACAGCGCCCGGCTGAAGGTGAGACGTCCCCGCCCCCAGCGGATCCCAACTCATTCTCTCACCTCCTCGTTTTTCCCGACTCGTTTCCCTCCCTCCTTGCCCGAAGGATTTGTTCCTGGCTTCCCCTTGCACGCAGGTCCCCGTTGCGGAGCTCGGGCGGAGATGGGAGGAACTCCGATCCATCCTAGCTCGGCCTCCTCCTTCGTGGGCTTTGGCGCACATCAAAACATTGTCCGGCGGATGAACCACGTCCGCACGCACCCCGAGCGTTGCGGAGTGTCAGTGTTTGTTTGGATGCCAAGCCCCTGATTCTTTCCAGCACTACCGTGTTTGCCCTCGTCCCTTCCACCTTCTTGCTATCCCTCGTGGCGTCCTCCCCGCCTGTTCTGTCACACGTCTGGGGCTTGGTCCAATACCAGATTATGGATCCGAGTATCTCCTGCAGGGCTGCCTTCAGATCGCAGTGATGAGCTTCCAAATTCACCACACGTTGAAAGCTGACCCTGCGGGCAGGGCAAGAGCGGCCGCGCCCACCTATCATCACGAATTGCGAGCCGCAGCCCTCGTCGCGATGCGATGCTACGGACCTGGCCGTCGCTGAGCCACCGTGGATTCAAGCTGCGTGCGCTCCGCCCCCAGGCCGTCCCGACCTTCCACCTGCACAGCGAGCGCCACTCGGAGGGCGCCCGGCGACATCGGGGCTCCAGCGTGCAGTCGACGTCCACCATCGGCGAGGGCGCAGCCTACGTCCACGGCTGACCTCAGAGGAGGGACGAGGCACCCATCCCGCTACCTTCTTCGCCCGTCTTCCCCCTCCGTTCGCCCCCTCTGGGAGGCCCTCGTCGCCACCGCTGGATTCGCTTCGAAGTTTTTTGGTCAGCACGCACCCCCCAGAGAGGTCCGGGCAGTAGCGGTATCGGTGCCTTTTGATTGCCCCGTGATCTCCGAGAGCACAGCACGGGGCCTACATTCGGGCCAGACGAAAAGGGGGGATTGGGAAAGGGGGGGGGTTACAACATCTGCTGCATGCAGCTGGGTTCGGCCCCACCGAGGGGCCCATTCCTCGATACATAGTCGCCTCCCGGCGCCGGGAGGCGCCGGGAAGATCAGGTACGTGAGCTGATTCTCACCCCTCCCCTTTGGTATCCCCTCCTTTCGCCCGACCCGATACATGCAGGGGCAGCGTTGGGGGGATTGGCTCGGGGCTCGGGGGGGGGGGGGCGCATCGACCCCCCATCGCCCATTGATCCCCGCCAGGGGCGCCTTCTCCTCCTCCTTTTCCTCCTCCTCCTCCTCCTCCTCCTCCTCCTCCTCCTCCTCATCCTCCACTTCCTCCTCTCCTCCTCCTCCTCTCCTCTCCTCCTCTCCTCTCCTCCTCTCCTCCTCCTTCTCCTCCTCCTTCTCCTCCTCCTTCTCCCTCCTCCTCCTCCTCCTCCTCCTCCTCCTCCTCCTGTCCCCTCCTCTCGTCCGACCCGCGCTGAGGAACGAGGGCCCAGGACGGGGCGGAGTCGCCATGGGTAGGCTCGGGGCTCGAGCGGGGCGCGCATCGACCCCCCGATCGCCTACTCATCGCCGCCGGGGGCCGGGCAGCCCACCCCGCCCAGGACGGGGCGGAGTCGCCATGGGTAGGCTCGGGGCTCGGGGGAGGAGGGGAGGAAGGAGGAGGAGGAGGAGGAAGGAGGAGGAGGAGGAGGAGGAGGAGGAGGAGGAGGAGGAGGAGGAGGAGGAGGAGGAGGAGGAGGAGGAGGAGGAGGAGGAGGAGGAAGGAGGAGGAGGAGGAGGAGGAGGAGGAGATGGAGGAGGGGGAGGGGCAGGCCCAAGCGGGGGCGGGGCGCCTCGACCCCCCGATCGCCCACTCCGCGCCGCCGGGGGACGGGCAGCCCCACCCCGCCCAGGACGGGGCGCGGAGTCGCCCTCGGGGGCCCGTCGCCGACCCATCCGCCACGCATCGCCGATGCCAGCCTCAAGTCGGGCGTGTCCCCCTACAGCGGGATTTTCGACGAAAAATAAAGAATACCTCCAACACAGTCAACAAATAGTCTGGGGACTATTCTTTGAATACTGTTTGATTTTCTTGGGGTATGTTTGTTTTTTGGGGTCGTCGAGAATCTCCCTGTGGGGGGACAGGCCCGACTTAATGCCAGCCCGAGGCTTCCCGCCCCCGACGCTGCCCCGCCGAGCACCCCTTGAGGGCCGGCGGCCCGGCGGCGCTCGCACCCCGCGCGCAAACAGGCGCGCCGTGCGTGCCGAGCTCGCGCCAGCCCTGCTCCCGAGGCCTGCGCCGCTCCGCCGGGCGAGCTCGTCGCCCCGGGTCGCAAGTCGGGCCTGTGCCTTCTGCAGGGGGAGGATTTAAAACTAGTCAGAAAAATACAGTGGAGACCCATGCCAAGAAACACCCTGCTTGCCTCCAGGGTGCCTTGGGTTTCTTGGGTTTCGATGGTTTTGTGATTGAAAGCGTAACGTTGCCACACCAAAAAATCAATGGACGTCCTGGGGTCTCAGGGTTGGGTTTCTTGTGGAAGGTTTCTTGTGGACGGGCCCCTACTGTAGGCCGGGGACGATTGGTTTGACCATTTTCGTGAATTGTTTGGTACCCTCGAGTGCTTTCAATTTGTCGTCCAAGATCCGCCTCTCGGGGGACGTGCCTGCCCAAACCCGCGTCCTCTGGGAGGGCGTGCTGCACGCCCAGGTTTTTATGTCGGGCCTGTCCTCCTACAGGGGGATTTTCGACGAAAAATGAAAATACCACAAAAGTACACCAAAAATCAAAAAATATTAGCCAGGCTACTTGTTGATTATGTTTTGACCATTTGGGGGCATTTTTTATGTTTCGTCGACTTCTTGGATTTATTGTTTGATTATTTGTTGACGACTTCTTGTTTATTTTTGATTATTTGAGGGGCATCTTTTACTTTTCGTCGAAAATCCCCCCTGTGGGCGGACAGGCCCGACATAAGCCCAGAGGTGGAGGCCGGGCCACCCGCGGAGGCGCCGGGGAGAGGACCGAGCGCGGCGCGCGCGGCGCCGCGGTCTGGGCCGCGGGGGGGCGGCCCCTGGCCACAGGAGGGCGGCGCGGGGGCGCGGGGGCGCGGAGAGAGAACGGGGGCGCCCTCGAGGGCGCGAAGTGCTTCGCGCTTCGCGGTTTTCTCGTTCCTTCTCCCCCTCCTCCTCGTCCTCGTTCCTTCTCCCCCTCCTCCTCTTCCTCCTCTTCTCCCTTGGGGTGGGCGGCGCGAGAGCGCGAAGTTATTCGCGGAGAGAGAACGAGGCCGCCCTCTCGGGCCGAACGAAAGGGGGGGATAGGGAAAGGGGGGGCTACGAAATCTGCTGCATACAGCTGGTTTCAGCCCCACCGAGGGGGCCATTCCTCGATACATGGCCGTCTCCGGCGCCGGGAGGCGCCGAGAAAATCAGCTACGTGAGCTGATTCCCAACCCTTCCCTTTGCTATCCCCCCCTTTCGCCTGGCCCGACCCTCGAGGGCGCGAAGTTATTCGCGCTTCGCGGTTCTCGTTCCTTCTCCCCATCCTCCTCGTCTTCCTCTCCTCCCTTTGGGGGGGCGGCGCGAGAGCGCGAAGTTATTCGCGCTCTCGCGCTTCGCGGAGCGCGGAGCACGAAGTTGGCGAGAGGGCGTCGCGGCCGTCATTTTTGCGGGTCCAGGTCCGTCGGTTTCGGTCCTGGGCCGTTCTCGTTAAAGGGTGGTTTACTGAAGGGAGGTTTGTCCTCCGCCGAATCGTGGGGCGCCTTTTGCGCGAGTTCGGGTGGCCTACAGTGGAGGCCCGTGCCAAGGAAGTATCCTGCTTGCCTCCAGGGTGCTCTGGGTTTCTTGGGCTTCGATTGGGCTTTTTTCTAGGGACAGCGTGACGTTTCCACACCAAATATCCAGGGACGTCCTGAGGTCTCAGGGTTGGGTTTCTTGTGGGAGGTTTCTTGTGGACTGGCCTCCACTGTAGTGTTCGCATGCGGCCTCCTAAGATCATGCAGCTCCGAACGCGGAAGGAAGGAAGGAAGGAGGAGGAGGAAAAAGACGAGGAGGAGGAGGAGGACGAGGAGGACGAGGAGGAAGAGGAGGAGGAGGCGGAAGGGGACGAGGAGGAGGAGGAGGAGGAGGAGTTGGAGGAGGAGGGGTTTCTTGTGGAAGGTTTCTTGTGGAAGGTTTCTTGTGGACTGGCTTCCACTGCAGGCGACGGAGTCTTGGACGCCCGGGGAGCGGGGCAGCCGGACGTGCGGTGCGCCAGGTCCGCCCCCGCGAGCGGGGCGCGCCGGATCCCGTGCAGCCGCAAAAGCGCTAATGACCCACGTGGCCCAGGGCATCCGGAACGCATGCTCTGCCTCCTGCGCCACGGACCGTGCAACGGAATTCGTTAGTGGCCACGCTCGGGGGCGGACAGGACCCCCAAACAGTGACACGTCGGGTAGCGAATTGTCCGTTGTCGGCTCTCGAGAGGGCGCCGCGGCCGTGATTTTCCAGGCTTGTGCCCGCCAGGTTCGGGTCTCAGGTCAATTTCAGTAAACCACGTTTTACTAAAGGCAGGTCTGTCCATCCCCGACACGCGGTTCTGCCTCGCCTCCGCATGCCGGCGCGGCCGCTCGGCGGCCCCCGAGCCGAGGTATTGGCCTTGAAGTTTTCTCCCGTTTCCGTCGGGGGCCCACGCCGAGTCCCCGGTTGCGCGCCTTCCTCGAGGCCGCTGTGCCCGCCGACAGCGCTTCAAGCAGTGGCGAAGCGTCCCGGGTCGCCTATAGGCCCATCAAAGAAAGTGTTCCGAGATCTTTTTGTGGCCTGCACGACATGTCCTTGGAACGTTTCTGGCTGAGGCTGTCTTGTCTTAACACATCGGGCGTATGGTCTACGAATCTTGCGTTCTTGTTCTCAAAACGCGTTCGGGTTCTAGCTAAGAACATGTCGTGGTAGGCCTACAGGAATGCCGGGGCTGTTGGTCCCTGCTCAAGAGCTGCGCTCGCCCCGGCGGCGCTCAGGCCAAGCCGAAGTCATGCGGGAATCCTCGGGAGAGCCGCCGTGCGAGGCCCGTATTGGCGGCCCTGCTCGAGCGTGTTGGCGCGGGCGTGAGAGGGCCCGCTGGAGCTGCAGCGAATGGTGTTCCCCGCCCCTGGCTGGCCACAACGTCCTCCTCCTCCTCCTCCTCCTCCTCCTCCTCATTCAACTCCTCCTCCTCCTCGTCCTCCTCCTCCTTCTCCCCCTCCTCCTCCTCCTCCTCCTCCTCCTCCTCCTCCTCCTCCTCCTCCTCCTCCCCACCCCTGGCTGGCCACAGTGTCCTCTTGGGACGCACCAGCGTACGGTGTCATCGCATGTCTAGTCGCACAATCTCCCATGCCTCGAAGGAGAAAAAACACCATAAACATAAACTTTTGGCGATCCGCGCGGATTTCTTGGATCCGCGCTCGGTCCACCTTGCGGCGCCTCTGGCGCCACCCCTGGCGCGCTCCGCGCGCCAGGGAGGGGGGTCCAGCGCAGATCCAAGAAATCCGCGCGGAGCGCCAACAGTTTATGTTTATGGCGTTTTTTGTTCTATGTTTCTAGCACCGTGCGCTTGCCCACGGATTGTTTTTTGACCCTCCTTCGCACCGCCATTAAAAAAGCGAGCAGTAGGTCATGCCAATGCGACCCGTGTGCTTCACAGACCACAGTGCAAATTGGCCTGCAGGGAGACTTCTCAAAAAACTTCAACATCATCATGTGCCATCAGGTCGGCTGAGCTACAGGGATGACACACTGCCTCATCATGATCTTCCGACTTTTTCTCC